GGAGATAACACTAATAAACAGTTATTACTTACTGACCACTTACATGCCAGGAGCTATGCAAAGTGCCTTACCACCATTATCTCGTTTAATACTCTTAATAGTAATATGGAATAGGTCCTAGTATCACCCTATTTTATAGATGGAAAAACTGGAAAACATAAAACAAACTGAGGCCTCAGAACTAGTAAGTCACTAAACCCAGGCCTGCCTGAGTCTGATGCCTGTGCTCTGAATACAACGCTCTACAAAATAAGGTCAGCAGAGAGACCAGGACAGGAGACCTCAATTTGGGAGTCACTTACACAGAGGGAGAGAATGTCAAGAACAGAAGGCCATAGGTTTCTTTCCAGCCTCCTTCTGAAGACGAGCCCCCAGTCTCCATTTCCGGTCTTGTGCTTGCTCCTAAACTCCACTGACATATCATCAGCTGACCACTGGATTTTATCACCAGCTCCTCTCATTTTTCACCACCTCCCCAGCAACCAGTTTCAAGCCTGATATTCCTAATTCTTTAAGCGTAAAAGTGAATCCAATTTTGTGTCAAACCAACCTGGGCTCAACTGCAAGTGCCATATGCAAACCCTGAGGCTTTGGGCAAGTTGCTGAACCTTAATGGGTCTCAGTTTTCTCATCTATGAAATGGAAAGGCACAAGACCTTTCTTGGAAGGTGCTTGTGGGGATTAAATGAGACAATTTGTATATAACCTATAGCATAGTGCGTGGCATCTAGTAAGTGTTGGGTAAGTGGGATTTTTATTGCTATTGTATTGTATGACTGTTGTTTCTCAGGTTTAAAACTCCCTCTCTTACATATTCACAGATGGCTCATTCCGATGCTGAGAGGTGGGAGGAGGAAGAGGAACCCACAAAGGAGAGATAAAAAGTCAGTGCAGTTCGTGCTCCCCACAATGACCTCATCCTCTGACCTCTGGGCTGCAGGGTCTCTTCCACACCCACAGAGAGAACTGGGCTCTAGCCAAGACCCCCATTCTCCCGCCAAACTTTCTCACTTGGAGATCAACAAGCAGTGCTGCTGTTTTTACCTCTTCCACTCTCTTCAGTTGGAGCCTGCATTTTGTGTCATGTGTAGCCTTCGCCTCCCCCAAACACCCTCCTTTCCCTCGAAGTATCTAGAATCAAAGTTTTAGAAATCGTCTAGACCAACCTCTCAAAAATTGAAGTTTAAAATTAAAAGCCATTTTTAAAAAATGTTCTTCCCTGGCCGACGTAGCTCAGTGGTCGAGCATCGACCTATAGACCAGGAGGTCACAGTTTGATTCCTAATCAGGGCACATGCTCGGGATGCAGGCTCCATCCCCAGTGTGGGGTGTGCAGGAGGCAGCAGATCAATGATTCTCTCTCATCACTGATGTTTATATATCTCTCTTCCCCTCCCCCTTCCTTCCTCTCTGAAATAAATTAAAATATATATTTTTTAATTTTCTTGCACAATTAAATTTAGTAAAATAGGCCTTCTCCCAGCCACTCTGCATGCATCCATCATCACTGCAATAAGTACACTGTATGTGCACAAACATTTGCATTTTCACTGTGCAGAACCAACCTCCGTGCAGGTCTGTCTGGGACTTTACTCCCCTCCTCACAGGCCTGTCAGCTACTCAGGCCCCCAGTGATATACATAAGTATAATGGCTAATGATGGACAGTAACAGGGCACTGCTCACAATCACAAATCCTCACACATCTACACCCTCTAACATCCCCCGAGATCCATGGGAAATAGGAAAGGAGAGATGAAAGGAGACTCTAAGGAGACAGGCATGGTGTTTGTACACAGGGAGGGGAGAACAAAGGGAACAGGAAGCCTGGGGGTGGTAGGCAGGAAAAGCAGGCGAGGCAGGAGGTTAGATGAGTCAAAGAGAGCGAATGAGGGCACTGGGTCGCATCAGCTATTGCTTAGCTGCCTCCAGAGGGTAGTGTGAACTGGAAAAAGGGAATGGGGGGAGGCCAGAAGGGGACTCGGTGCCATCACTCAGAAAGTGGGTATCAGTTCAGCTCATTTCCAGGAGGGGCCCAAGCTCTCGCCTTCTGATCTGGTCTCGCCTTGCCTCCTCCATCTATCTTGCCTGGCTCTGCTCCTAGGGCTTCAGGGTTATGGCAAGGCAGCCGGGATGGCCGAGGAAGGAAGGAGTTAAGCTAACAATAAAGATGTCAGTCCTGGAGATGACTGGACCCCTGCTTGGCAGACAGAAGCCACCCGTGGCTGCTAGTGCCCTCCATTTATCTGGTGCTTTCAACATATTTCAAATGCCCTCACCCTAAAGATCTCATTTAGTCTCCAGCACAGCCCTGTGAAAGAGGCAGGTCTGGGATTATCTCTCACACGTCCCTCTCCTCTTTTCCCTGTGGATCCCTCAAGAACCCTCAAATGGCTTCCTCCACAGAAACACCTCCCCGCTACGGGCTACAAGGAGATCCTCTGCCTAGGCTCCATTCCGAGCTTGCTTCCTCTGTCTGTCCTGGGCTGGGTCTGACGAGAAGTCACAGGATATGGAATCATTCCCCTCTTGGAATTTCCCAGGCTCCCTCCCTCCCCCTTTGCTTATATCTGACAGCCTGGCACACACTGTCCCTTTCACCCACTCCCCAGAGAGCTATGTCAGACTTCTCCTCATTAGGCGGATGGAAACCTGAGGCCTAGAGAGGCAGAGGCCTTTGCCCTGAGTCACATGGTGAGCAAACATGGAGGGCTCCGTGATGACTTGGGAAGAACACAGGACTGGGGGAATCAGGAAACCTGGGTTCCAGTCCTGGCTCCGCCCCTGGTCAGCCGGAGTCACCAAACAATCACTCAACCACTCCAGCCTTGGTTTTCATGAACTGTCAAATGGAAATAATACTCATCTCTTGGGGTTGATGGAAAGATTAGAAGAGACCAATATGTCTAAGTATTATGTAAAAACGAATTACCCTCACTATCAAGTGGCATGGGTAACATCAGGATTATGGCATCATGGGAAGAGGCTGGGCCAACTATAGTTTGGGCTCTCATTAACTCACCTGTGGGGCCTTCCCTGGGCACGTGCTGGCCTCAGTTTCCCAAGGCCGTGCCAGCTCTAAGACAGGGTTCTGAGAACTATGCCTCCCATGCAAAAATTCTGGCATCGGCCGCCCTGATCTCTTGTCCTATCATCTGTGCCCCACATGGCCTTAGATCCAAGATTCTTATTGCGGGAGCCAGTCAGTCCCCTGCAGTGGGAGGTCCCCCTGGAGTCTTTGCTCCATCCCTCCACCCATTTCCTCAGGGCTGAGGTGTGCTTCCTTACTCTCTTGGCCTCCATTGTTTCTCAGCCTTAAGGATGGAGGGAGGGAGTGATGGAAAGAAAGGCGAGGGGCATGGCAGGTGGGGGTGCTCTTGGTGGTGAAACCAGTGACTGATTGCCCCTGTAAGATTTTCCAGTGGAAAGCACAAGACTGCCTGGATTCCCTTCCTCCTAGGAAGAGCTGACTAACTGTCCTGTCTTTCACACCCTGCTTCTCTCAGGATGGCCCCAAATGTGCCAGGCCCCGGAGGAAGCAGCTCAGCATGACCCCTGCGGAGCTCAGAGAGGAGAATTAAATACTAAATGTGCCAGGCGAGGGCCCTGGTGCAGCAGCACCCCCCCACAACATGGACAATGGCATCCAGCTCATCCGTCGCCATCCCAGAGGCTCCAGCTCTCCCTTTCCAGGCTGGACTTCCCTGCTCCCAGCCCGCACTCCTGAGAATGAGGAATAAGAAATAGTGATGTTTTGTTGTCCCCAGGCAGTGACCAGCTATGGGTCCCTGTGACCTTCCTCCAACCCCCAGTGTTGATGGCCCCAGGGACCTAAAAATGCCAGGAACATTGAGGTATGGCATCTGCAGCACTAACATTTAGCTGGTCTGTGGCTGGCCAGGCAGGGGCCTCTGTAGCTTAGCCCAGCCCTTTAGGCCTAGAGGCCCATGGGGAGGGAACAGCTCAGGAAGGACACTGAGGCCTGATATCTCCCAGGGCAATGGGGAATTGGCTCTTCCTGGGATGAGGCCTTATTCTGCCTCAGTTTGTTAATACAGGTCAAAGAATGAGCAGATTGGAAGAGCCTCAAAAACCATCCAGGCCAACCTTTCATTTTACAAGAAAAACTGAGGCTTGAGGAAAAGAGGAAGCCACTTACACAAGGTCCCTCAATGAGACAAGACTCCAGATGTCCAGTGGAGAGCCCCATCAGTACTCTTTCCACCCACTGCGTGATCCCCCAAATCTCCTTCTTAATGATGCCAGGTAATGGGCCTGCTCCACACGGGCCCAATGGACCTCATTCACAGGGAGCAGAACCCATTCCTATTCCCACCTTGCCATCCAAGAACTGAAGAGCATGAGGCCCAAGGTTTCCCACTCAGCTCTGTCACTTCGTAGGATGGTCCCTTGGTCATGTCCCTTCTCTGAGCCTTAGTTCCTCGCCTGTAAAATGAGGATTTAAGAACCAGTTCCCCCAGATGGCTACTGTAGGGATCAAATGAGATCACTTATGTGGGGCATTTTGTAAACTGTGAAGTGCTATCCCAATGTCAGATGTCATTAAAATGGTGTGAGGTTTGCAGGTGCAGCAGAGGGAGGAGATAACAGGTGAGGGGGCTATGCACGAGTGAAAACCCACAACGAAATGAGGCTGAGGGCCCGCCTGGCCACTCCATGGACCTGTCTGATACTGGGGGCCACCAGCAGAGACTGACAGGCAGCAGGTCAGACCAGCTGAAGCCCATTGGCCTGAGAGACTGGCTGCCTGCTTTGCCGTGTGTGTGTGTGTGTGTGTGTGTGTGTGTGTGTGTGTGTCTATCTGTCCTCCTTAGGTAGTCCAGGGAGGCTAGCCTGGAATTTGACTGGCTTTTCCAGGGGAGCATTTGGCAGGAGGGCAGTGTATGGTGCAGGGAAGGGACACCTTGCTTCAGGCCAGCTCACAGACCCACAAAGGAAAGCCTGTCAGCCCGGATGACCCTGCTTGCTCCGGGACCTTACCTTGTACTTGGCTGCAAGCAGCTCCGTGGCCTGCTGCTCCCGCCGCAGTTCTTCCAGCATCTTCTCCTTCTCCTCCAGCAGCTTCTGCTTCTCCTCGCTGACCAGGCTTCGGTCATCCTGGATGGCCGCCTTCTCTTCCTCCAGCCGTTCCTTCTGCTCCTGCAGGTAATTCTCCATGTTCTTGTCCAAGGCCGAGTCCAGGATGGGCTGGGGCGGGCGATGGTTGTTGTTGTTGTCATCCTCCTCTTCGGCCACCCAGGCCTCGATCACCGGCCCCTCAGGGTAGCCGGCAGGGGCCGACACGGCCTTCTTCCTACGACTGCCCTTCCTCCGGAGCCGCTTCCCCAGCATCCCTTTCTTCTCCAGCTGGGCCTTCAGGCGGGCGATCTCCTCCTGGAACTCCCTCAGCAGCGTGTCCTTAGGGTCCTCGTTCACCCGTGGCCTGTTCTTGATGTTTTTGGCCCGGTTGGCGAAGCGCAGGGTAGAGAGGCTCTCATCGTAGCTGTGAGAAGCCGGCCCCAGCGTGGCCACCATGATGGTCTTGGCATTCCCCCCGAGAGAGTCCTGGAGCAGCCGGGTCAGCTTGGAATCCCGGTAGGGGATGTGGGTGCTCCTGTTGCCCGCCAGAGCGGCGATCACGTTGCCCAGGGCAGACAGCGAGAGGTTGATTTTGGAGGCCTCCTTCGGCCTCTCCCCACTCCCACCGCCCCCTCCACCACTGCCGCTACCTGTGGACTGTGTGGCGGCCCCTCCAGCTGAGTTGGGGCCCGCCTTGTTCTGCCTCTCGCTGCCAGCCAGGTCCACCAGGTTGAGCTTGCCCACACGGATGTGGTCCTGGCCATCGGAGCCACGCTCACTGCACTCCACCGTGATGACGAAGATGGCGTGGGAGCGGGAGCTGACTTCGTTCATGTGCGTGCTGCCCACCGCCCGGGTCTGGTTCCCCAGGTTCATCACGTGCTCGATCTCCTTGACGTTCTTGGTGACAAAGGAGGAGAGGTCCTTGATGTAGACGCCTGTCTCTGGGTTTTCCTTCAGCTCCAGCCTCTTGCCGGGCTCCTTGGAGAGCAGGTCCCGGATCTCCTCCTGGTAGATCTCCAGGTAGGAGGCCCGGACCAGGTACTGCTGGTTCTGGGAGCGAGAGATGTGGGTGAAGATGTGCTCAAAGGCGTTAGGGATGACCCCACGCAGCTCGGGCTCCACCCAGGTCCCTTGCATGGTGTAGGTCTTGCCGGTGCCCGTCTGGCCATAAGCAAACACCGTGCCGTTGAACCCCTGAAGCACCGAGTCTACCAGGGGCCTCACGGTTTCATCATACAAGTCTGCCTGCTTGGAGCTGGCATCATACACCGCATCAAAGGTGAAGGTCTTGGGCAGCTCCCCCAGGGCGGCACGGGGGTTCCGCAGGGTCACCTGGCCCAGTTTCACGTCCATGGTCAGGATCTGCTCATGGCCAGCAGCCTCCTCCTTCCGGCTGAGGGGGCGGCACCGGGCCACCACCTTCAGGGCCTCGCTGGCCTTGGTTTTATTGGCCATCTTGCTCCTGTCCTTCCTGCCCCGTGGACCCGTCTGTAAGCTGGGCAGTCAGTCCTGCGTCCTCCCTAGGAAGGTATCAGCCGGGCCAGCCCAGCCCCGAGGCGCCGCTCTTCAATCCGCGTGCAGCCTCCTAGGGTGGGGATGCTGGGAGGTGGCCCCGCCGCCGCCGCCGCCGCTGCAGACCGGGCCTCCTCCTCCGCTCTCTGGTCCTCGCTGCACCGGCAGGACGGGGAGAATTAGGCAGAATCTCCGGGCAGCTGCCGCGGGAGCCGTGCCGGCCGGATGGCAGTGCCCGGAGCCTGCCCCATGCTGGGGCAGACGAGCGCCCAGCCGTAAACAGCTCCGGCAACAATGAGATAAAGGAAGAGGAAAATGGGATGGGGGTGGGCGGCGGAGCTGTCTTCTCAGCCTCCTCCTCTAGGGATCCATGGCGGGGGCTGCGGGTCCTGGGCGGCCGGGGTCTCGGCCCTGCCGAGGGCAGAGGCTCACCTGAAGTCCTCGTCCCCAGCTGGGGGGTCATTCATTGCAGCCAGCGCTGCTGCCGCCGCCGCTGCTGCCGCTGCCGCTGCCCTTCCCCGCCGCCACCGGAGAATGAGAGAAAAACAGAAGGCGATGGGGCGGAGCAGCGGCGGCGAGACTGATGTTGCCGCTGCTGCTGCTGCTGCTGCTGCTGCTGCTGCTGCGCTGCGGCCCCAGCTAAGCCTCCGAGCTGGGGTGGGGCGCAGGGCGGGGCCGCGCGGCGGGAGGCGCCAGTCCGCGGCAGCCAGTGCGCCCGGGGCCGGAGTGCATCGCCGATCAGCACCCTGAAACCCCTACGGAGTGACAGACTCTGATGCAGACTCGGGTCGTGCGCCCACCAGGCGGGTGGCAGCGCAGCCACCGCCCGCCGTCACCCCACGAAGCCGAGCATGCTGGGAGTTGTAGTCCCGCCTTTGTTAACCCGGATCTGGCAGGTCCGCTGCAGCCTTCTCACGTCGGGGAGGCCCCGCCCTCTCTGGCATGAAACTCCCAGAGTGACTGCTGAGGTTTCAGCCTACCTGTCGGAGGAGGGGAGGTGACCGCTACCCACATGTGTTGCTCCACAGCCACCATCCTTGTCTCTCCATCCTTGTCTCTTGCCTTTCTGTCTGCAGACAGGTACGTGTCATCCTCCCCTTCAGGGTCTCCAGGTACCCTAGATACTAATCTTTTCCTATCCCTTACCCTGGTTTTCCTCTCTCTCCTCGAGCCACCTTCCAGCTGATTTTCTCCTCACCTTCTCTCCCCACATGCACCTTCCTCCACCAGCCTTCTATCCTATATAATAAAAGGCTAGTATGCAAATAGACCAAACAACTGGTTGCTATGTCATGCGCTGACCACCAGGGGGTGGAACATGGCAGGCGTTGGCTGTGGTGGGATGGTGGAGCAGGTGAGAAGGGGCGCCAGACCAAGGCGGGTGCTGGTTGCTGTCATCAGGGCGAGTCTCTGGTAGTTACTGAAAATTCTTTGCTCCCGTTCGATTCTAGTGATCCTGCCCAGAGCTCGCACCTACTGTTGGTGCTGGCTCCAATCGCTCCATGCTGTCAGTGCGTGTGAGCAGGACTGGAATCAGCACATAGGAGCAGCGGCAGGAGCAGAGCTGCCAGCACACAGGGAACCAGAGCCCAGGTGGGAGGGGTTGGGGGCACAGAGGATGGGTCAAGACCCAACCCTGTGCCCACCACAGCCTCTCAGCCCACAGTTCCTTTCAAGGTGCACAAATTTGTGCACTGAGTCCTTAATATAAAAGGCTCTCCATCTTCTGACCCTTGGTTAACTTCCCATCTTCCCCCACAGCTATTCTCCTACGGAAAGTCTATGTTCCAGACATGCTTCCTTCAAAAACTTAGGTTTTTGCTAAAACCTAGGCCCCATTCAAGGAGCTGGAACTTCTTGTCCTCAAGGAGTTCACATTCCAGAAACCATGTTTTATTTCCTTACCTGGCTGTGCTGTGTTGCATTTTTGTGCCTTTGCCCAGAGGATTCAGTGCCCCTTGTGTACTTGGCGTCCTGACACTTGGGCAGTTCAAGCACCTCCTTTGTGAAGTCTTCCCTGACCAATGTCTTTCCCATAGCAGAAAGAGACAGATAATTTGCATAAAACAAAAAAGCTCACACTCCAGTTCCAGTTCTGATCTTCATCCAGCTGTTGACTCTGGGCAGTCACTTACCCTTGCCCCAGCTTTAGTCTCCTCATCTGTTTAAGAAAAATTGGAAAGGGGGCAAGAAATAGTATCTACTTTTGGGATGGTTGTGAGACTCAACGAATGAATCATAAAGTACTGCACCAATAAAAAGACTTATTTTAAGCAAGCCCTTAATAACATACATGACCTTGGATTGTCTGATAGCTCCTGCTTCCTTGAGCATCCTGGATAGCCCAGGCCTATGCTTGCTTTTCTTCTTTGGTATCTTCATATTTTCCCCCTCTAGGATACAAATCACTTATAATTCTTTTTTTTATAATATATTTTATTGATTTTATACAGAGAGGAAGGGATAGAGATAGAGAGTTAGAAACATCGATGAGAGAGAGTCATCGATCAGCTGCCTCTTGCACACCTCCTACTGGGGATATGCCCGCAACCAAGGTACATGCCCTTGACCGGAATCGAACCCGGGACCCTTCAGTCCCCAAGCCGACGCTCTATCCATTGAGCCAAACCGGTCCCGGCCACTTTTACTTCTTAATATCCAAGACAAAGCCAATATCCTATCCATGTTCCACTCTGCAGAGTGGAGCTGAATCTGTGGACTGGGCTTATCCTTCTTATGAGATCCAGATAGAGGAGACGCTGTTATCTGAAACTTCCAGGCCATTTATAGAGGCACCAGAATAATCTGTCCATATAACATTTTCAATCATGTTATTCTCTAGAGAGCCTAATTGTTCTTCAACTCTACAGAACCTATCTCCTTACTTCTTCCCCATCTTCAAGTCCCTAGGACCTGAATGCCAGCTCACCTGGAAGCTTAAGGCTTAACTGGTGGCTGGTCCACGTCTGTAACTTCGTGGCCTTCCTCAGCCCTCTCTTTGATCAAGCTTAACTGCTTGTGATTAACGTGGCTTTTAAATTGATTCTTGGGTGGGGTTTTGGCTTTGGCCACCTGAGTTCTGGATGACGATTTGGCTGTTGACCTATTTTCTTGTTGCACTTGGCTTTGGTTTTTGGATTACCCTTTCTCTGCCTTGGCTAACCCACGTGACTCTACAGTGCTGAGTACACAGATCCTTTCCCCATTCTCCCCACCTTATGTCTTCACTTGACAGGGCACTTGTCCAAATCTGGATTCTCATTGCTTATATGATGTATGATCCTGAATAAGATGTTAAACTTCTGAGCAGCTAGTTTCTTAGTGGGAAAAGTGAGGATAAGAATGCTTGCCTGACTCACAGGGTTTACATGAGGATTAAATGAGATAATGTATGTGAAAACTACAATTCAAGAAATTGTAGTTTTCCTTCCTTTTGTCCTTTGCATTCAGGTTGCTCACATTCTTTGTCTCCCTCTTCAGCACTGTCTTCAGCCATCCTTCTTTCCTGCACCCTCTCACACACTTAAGTCTCCAGACATTCTGGTTCACTTAAGGTCCTCCAAACACGTAGATTTTCATGTTTCTGTATCTTTGCTCATGCTGTTCCTCAGCCAGAAATGTCCTTCTAACTTTGTCCCTGCCTACAGAGCTTCACCTTTTATTAATTCCATAACTTGACCTTACACGGCTTCTATTTCTACATTTCAATTGGGGCTTTTCTTATAAAGAACATCAGTTAACTCCATGGCCAATTCTAGCAGCCACTTTCAATAGGAGCACTTGGCATAATCCACTTAATTCTTTATCAAACTCTCATTGCCCATGGTTTCCATGATTCTGCACTTTTTGGTATTCTTCCTACAGCTTCCAGGAGTTCTGGTTGCTCAATATCAGTCTTCTTCACTGGTTGGAGTTCACTAAGGCTAAATGTTGGAGTCCAACATTAAATGTTGGAGTTCACTAAGGCTAAATCCTAAGCCCCCTTTTTTTCTAATGTCCCTTACTGATATCACTATAGCTTATGGGTTCAGTTACTGTCTAAGTGACTCCTAAATTTGTATCTCCAGTCCACTGAGTTCCAAGTTATATGTCCAGTTCTCTAATGGACATAGCCATTTGGATAGTTCCCATACATATGAAAGTTTACTTGTTCCTCTAGGAATGGTCCTTAGCTCTGTAAACAACAACTCTTTCCCCACCCTCAATATATCCATTCAAACATAAATCTTATCAATCCAACTTTGCAAATATTTCTCAAATCTATCTACTTCTTCTCCAAGTCATTATCTTCTCTGGCCTGACTTCCCATAATACCTTCAATCTGGTCTTCCTAGGTGTGCTCTTGTCTCTACCCATCCATTCTCTATAAGGTAATCTTTTAATAACACATGATTAACATATCACCCAATGCTTAAAACCTTTCAAGGCTACTCTTTTTTTTTTTTTTTTTTTTTTTTAAATATATTTTATTCATTTTGTACAGAGAGGAAGGGAGAGAGATAGAGAGCTAGAAACATCGATGAGAGAGTGAGTCATCGACCAGCTGCCTCTTGCACACCCCCTACTGGGGATATGCCCGCAACCAAGGTACATGCCCTTGACCGGAATCGAACCCGGGACCTTTCAGTCCCCAAGCCAACGCTCTAGCCATTGAGCCAAACCGGTCTCGGCTCAAGGCTACTCTTAAGGTAAAACCCAAATCATTAATGTAGCCCCCAAAGCCTGATAGACCTGGTACCTGCTCATATCTCCTGGCACATATCATGCCACTTTCCACCTTGCTCTCTGGGCTGTTATAACAATGGTTTTCTTCAGCTCCTTTCCAACTTCCTGTCACAGGGCCCTTACACATTCTGAATCACCTGCATAGAACATTTATCCTCACCATCTCTGCCTGGATAACCTGCTCTTCATCCTTCAGCTCTCAGCTTGAATGGCACTTC